GTTCTGGAATCCTCAGCCAGCAGCTCCCAGAAGCCCCCAGACCCGTTTTCAGAGCCCCCCTCGGCCTCTTTGCTGTATTTCTCTGCTCTTCGCGGGGACACGTCCCGGTCCCTCTTTCTTCTCCTGTGTCCTCCTCTCCGGAACTCTGTCCCCTTCTCTGTCCTACTGCCCCTCTTGGTGTCTCTCCAATACCCCGCAGGCTGGCAGGGTCACCCCCATTTTACAAGCCAGAGAACTGAGGCTCCAGGCGATGAGAAGACTTGCCTGAGGCCAGCAAGCGAGGAGGCAGAGCTGAGAGCTGAGGCTGGGTCGGTCTGCCAGCACGGACTGGGCCAGCCCATTCCTCCAGGGGCTCCTGGTGGAGTTAGGGGTGAGCGGGAACAATGGCAGCCTCGGCAGGGAGACAAGCTGCCTTAGAGGGACCCAGAGGACGCTGGGTGCTTGCTCCACACTTCCTGGATCTGCGCTGGAAACAATGCCCATGGGCTGCCCCACATGATTCCTGACTCACAGACACAAAAGACGGACCCAAGACGTTTACCCAGCAGGGATGGAAAATTCTCCTTTCCCATTTCCACCCAGCGCTTCCTAAGTCGATGAATAATGCATGCTCCAACAAAGGCAAGAAACAACCCATACAGCAACAGCCAGGCCCTGCCTCACGCTGGGAGATGAGACGAGCCAGCTGTGGTTGGTCATTTCAGGAGCTGGGATGGAGGAGGCCAGGGGCCTGTGGAGGTACCCCTGAGCTGGCTCCTGGTGGGCGAGTCAGACATTAATAGCCAGGTTAGATGGGGGTGGGAGTGGGAGTAGGGGTGGTGGAGGGAAGGCAAAGGCAATCCAGGCAGCAGGATGTGTGGTGTGCAGGGGGAAATCTCACTGCCATCGAATCAGTGCCGACTCACAGCGACCCTCTAGGACAGGGTAGAACTGCCCCTGTGGGTTTCTGAGACTGTGACTCTTTATGGGAGCAGGAAGCCTGAGTCTAGATTCCAGTTCTGTGGGTCAGTCTATGGGGCCCCTGGGTTATCCAGAGATGCTGGGCAGAGGTGTGGCCTGAGCTCATGACCAGGCCAGATTGGTTAGGGGTCGAGGTCTACTTGGCTCTGCTCAGTGAGTCATTCGGAAGCAGGGTTGGCTGCGCACATGCAGAGCCACACACAGAGCAGGAGCAGTCTATGAAGAGAGAGAGTGTACTGTCCGACCTGTGTCCTCTCCCCGGACTCCTTCAAGCTGGCCCCGTCACATAGTCAGAGACGCTGGACTGTCGAAGATGAGCCGGCCCGAGGGTTGGAGGAAGATGAGCCCGCCCGAGGGTTGGAGGAAAACTCACCGGCAAGCGGCAAGGTGCAGCCGACACTCCATGTGTGCTGAGATTGAGGTGGGCTCGAAGCCCGTGCTGAGGAGGACCCCAGACCACAGCCTGCAGCATGGATTATCCCTCACGATTAAGAGAATAAAAATCCAGACGGGCGCGTTCAGTGCATGGGGGCGGAGTAATCTGGAAAAGGATGTCAATAATGGTTGTAGAACCCGAAGCGCCTGCTCGATGGCCCTGAGTTGTGCGTGTAGAAGTTGTGGGATTGGGAGATGCTTTGTTGAGGTGGGTACTTTTGGCACAGTGAGAAGAAGATACTAATTACATGAACCGTGAGTACAAGGAAGAAGAAAATGTTCTCGAATTGACGATGGAGATCATTGGACACCTCCTCTCGATAGGATGGAATGACGGACTTGGATGAAGTGCTAATAAAACTGTTTAAAAAAAACAAACCTTCCCAAATAGAGGAATAAGCCACATCCTGATAAAGGAAGAAACGGTGGGAGTCGTCAAGGTTTCCTTTTTCTTGGACCTACCACACCCACAGAAGCAGCAGTCAAGACACCAAACAACGCTTTGCAATGGGCACATCTGGCAAAAGACCTCTTGACAATGTCCAGAGACAAAGGCATCGCTTTGAGGCCTGAGATGCGCCTGGACCCCAAGCTGTGGCACTTTCAACCGCTTCACCTGCATGTGCAAGCTGGTGAGTGAATCGGAGACGGATGAAGTATCGATGCCCGTGAAGGATGGTGCCGGCAAGGACCATCGGACAGATCACAGATGCTGGAGGACCAAACCCCTCTGCGCTGGAGGAAGCGAAGCCAGAAAGCTCGAGGATGAACCGAGATGTCAAGACGTCACCTCACGTACTTCGCCGGAAGGACCCGTCCCTGGAGAAGGACATCGGCTTGGGAGACCGTCAGCTAGGAGGAGGAAGCCCCTCAGGAAGAGAGACGGATACAACGGCTGCCACTCCGGGCTCAAACCTGCAGTCATTCGGAAGGGGGCACAGGACAGGGCGAGGCCCACCACGAGTCCCAGTGAGACGGTCTCTCGTGTCCAGGGACAGGAACTGTGAGGACCGATCTGTTCTTGGAGCCTGGTTGTGACAGTGACAGGGGCAGGCACCATGCTGGAGAGCCCCAGGGAAGGGAGCCACTACCACCTGGTGGAAGAAAGCCCGCACCTGGTCACTCTGTCCCCAGCCCAGGGAATCCTGGAGATGGAGGGGCAGTGCCTTTCTCGGGGTCAGAGGCAGTGAGGCCTTCCAGGAGGGAGTAAGATGGGAGCTGAAGGCTCAGATGTGGAGGCCCCAAGTCCTGGGGGCTGTAGATGGAGCTTTCTCACCTGGAGGGCCCAGGTGC